CTTAGTGTTGCTTAGTGTTGTTTTTTAGCTCTATATTCTTTTTGGGGGGGGGCAAGAGGTCTCACTTTGTCACCCTTGGTAGAGTGCCATAGCTCACAGCAACCTTAAACTTTTGAGCTCAAGCATCCTCTTGCTTCAGTTTTTCATTTTTAGTAGACATGCTCTTGCTCAAGGTGGTCTCAAACTTGTGAGCTTAGGCAATCCACCTGCCTTGGCTTCCCTGAGTGCTAGGATTACAGGCATGAGCCACTAGGCCCGGCCTTTGATATTCTTTGTATTAAACTTTTTCTGTTTAAACCATTGTGTGTTTTCTGTCTCCTGACAGGACCCAGACAGATACATTTAATATTAATTATATGTCAGGAAGTTTTCTAGGCATGAATAAGACAGACAAAGTACCTGGTTTTTATTGTGCTTATATTCTACAAAGATTGTGTATTAAGATGAAACATAAAACTTTGAGGCATGCTGGGCAAGGGGGCTCAGGCCTATAATCCTAGTACTCTGGGAGGCTGAGGTGGGTTGATTGGTTGAACTGAGGAGACTGGCCTGAGCAAGAACAAGACCCCATCTCTACTAAAAATAGAAAAACTAACTGGGCACTGTATGGCAGACTCCTGTAGTTCCAGCTACTCGGGAGGCTGAGGCAAAAGGATCTCTTGAGTTCAAGAGTTTGAGGTTGCTTGAGCTAAGACACCACAGCACTATAGCCTGAGGCAACAGAGTGAGACTCCATCTCAAAAACAAAAAAAGAAAGAACAAACAACTTTGAGGCAGAATTATTACAAACACAAGGGAACAAGGTAAGTGATAAGGAACTTCATGAGAACTAGAAAGATGAATAGGGTTTGATTCAGTAAGCAAGGAGGGTTTTGAGGTCAAGAGATGAAGTTGAAGAGGCAAGCCTTTTAGGTGGGTAAGTGTAACATAGTTAGGGAAGTTCTGAGAACGAATGAAAGCAGTTTAAACTGGGACTCATGATCACTAGATTGGCCAGGGTAAAAGAGTCTGGATATTGTTAGGTAGGCAAGGCTGAGG